CATCGAACACCTTGTGTGCATAGGAGGTGAGCTAGAGCACCACCAAGCCCTCTCCCCCTCGGCCAGAGAAAAACAAAGCACTGGGGTGCTCTGCTCGCGAGCGAGGGGTATATATATACACCTCATTGGTCCCGGTTGGTGACATGAGCCGGGACTAAAGGGGAGCCTTTGGTCCCGGTTCAAGCCACCAACCGGGACCAATGGTGGTGGGCCAGGAGCGAGGCCCATTGGTCCCGGTTCATCCCACCAACTGGGACCAAAAGGTCTAGATGAACCGGGACCAATGGCCCACGTGGCCCGGCCGGCCCCCTGGGCTCACGAACCGGGACCAATGCCCACATTGGTCTCGGTTTTGGACTGAACTGGGACTAATGAGCTGACCCGGCCTGGACCAAAGCCCTGTTTTCTACTAGTGTAATTAAGAGGCTTTTAATATCATTTACAGGTTACATTGTTCACTTTTGAGTTGGGCGTTCCATGGAAGGGCGATCTGGTCGATGGACAAATAGAAAAAGAAATATTATGATATAATGTTTTTCATGGCATCCGCATAGTGTGTTCTATTTTTCCGATGCAACTGATAAAATTGAACCATTTCCCCCTTCTATTTGATCTTGCAAATCAAGTTACTCGCGAAAGTTAATTCATATATACCAATATAAAAAGAGCAAGTTATGGAGATTCAACACATCTCGCCCATTCAAAGACAATTGGCCACAATGAGGTTTGTACATTTGTCGCAGTCGATATGGAATGCAAATCGATCTTTTTCCATGTCTTTGCGTGGAATGAAAAGCTTGTGTCATACGATATGGAAAACCAGAGATCTTGTGTCATCACTAGTAGAAAACATGACTTTGGTTGGAGCCTACCAAGCCCATTAGTCCCGGTTCAGTCAAAAACCGGGACCCATGGGGGGCATACGTCCCGGTTCATGCGCCCAGGGGCCTGGCCGGGCCTCGGAAGGCATTTGTCCCGGTTTATGTGGACCCATTTATCTCGGTTTTAGGCACGAAATGGGACCAATGGGCATCGCTCTTGGCCCACATCCATTGGCCCCGGTTCGTGCCTAAAACCGGGACAGAAGTGCGGCCTTTAGTCCCGGTTCCAGCCACGAACCGGGACAAATGAGTTGCCTATATATACCCCCTCGCCGGCGAGCAGAGCAGTCCACACTGCTCTGTTTTTTTGGCCGGCGAGGGGAGGGCATTTGGGTGCTCTAGCTCACCTCCTATGCACATGAGGTGTTCGATGAAATGTCCGAGCAACACTAGTTAAGTTTTCTCCTCTCGAAGCTTGACCTCCAAACTCCATTTTCCCCGAGATTTGCATAGGTTTAGCGGTCCATCACGCCCCGTCCCCTTCTTCACCGCCGTTGATCGGCCGCGCTGATCTCATCGCCGACACCACCGTGGTGAGCCTCTTGTTCTCCGATGTGACCCTTATATCCCCAGTTACACGGACTGGTTGTCAGATGGTTTGCTAAAAGCAGCACCGTGATTACTTACCGAGTTTGCACGCCACTGGTTGGTATCTTCATCTCTTGGCACCACTAATCTACGTTTGTTCTTGTCCAACTAAACCAGTTCTGAAGAATCTTCCTTTATTTGTTGTCCAGAATTGCAACTTGCAGATTTGTTTTGTCCACTATCTAGCATTCAAATTTTGTAATCAATCTTGCAGTTCTTTTATTTTCATATATTGTAATGTCTATTCAATTTTTTTCAGAAGATGATGTCTATCCAATTGTTATGGACTTCTCACTAGCGGAGCTTAGACAAGGCTGAATGGGCCATGGCCCGCCCAGCTCAGCTGAAAATGGGAAAGGATGAGATGAAATTTGGGCCTTGAGTACAAGTACTATATGTAGTTCCTTAGTCCGGCCCGCCCAGCCTTTTTCCTGTAGCTCCGCCAGTCGATTTTTTGACATGAAACCTGTAAAGCTAAAAGAAAAAAGGAGTTAATTCCAATTTAGAGCACCCGTTCATCACAAATTGACACGTTTGCACATATTTTAGAAATTGACCACTTCATACTACATTTCAGGTCTACAATTCCGGTTTTCGCTTTATTTTCAGTTTTTTTGGCGCGGATGTGGTGCAATGGTGTGGCAACTAGGCACACGTTTCCTTGCCATTTCCGAGCAAGTTAGCAGCCAGGCAGGCGGCCCGAGTTGGCTGCTGGACCTAGAGGTCATTGGTTCAGTTGTTGCTTGCATGCCCTCTTACAATTAGCTCTCTATAGGTAGAGAGCGGGACGAGGGTTTTACACGCGGTCGATGGTTCTTTCCAACCTTTTGATTCAGACTGGAGGTGCACATGAGAAGATCCTAAAAATGAAGCATGGTGAAAATCGGAATCATGTAAATTGTCAACTCGTGGTTGTCCAAATTGGAATTAACTGAACTACTGAAACACAGACCTATGAAGTCAAATGTTGGGTCCTACTGAGAATAAGATTCTGATTTTATTACTGTACGAGGGAGGCGAAGAGGGCG